AAAAAAAAAAGACATACCATTCCCAGTTTGTTGTTGGTACATATATAATATACCCCTGACAACATAAATAAATAAATCAATTAGTGACCAGATGGAAAAAGTACACTCATCATAAGGAAAATAAATATCATTCTTCAGTAGATCTCCAACAACGATAATATTGTAAAACTTTGTTTTTATTATGATTATATTATTTCTGTTAATCATTGCAAGAATAACTCTCAACATATTTGCCGGTGTTTAGTATGTAATGCGTAACACTCCCTCTGGCAAAAATACTCCACACTTTGTTCAGTAGATAACAAAGCAAACCCTAGGGACTCATCACCAAAATAAAAACATGTAGGCCCTAGCACAGTAGCCCTTCAACATGAACAAACATGTACCAACAATGATAACATTTACTAACAATCATATAACAGCAAGCTCGCAAGATCTTTGAGATGCTGGAATACGTAGACATGAGACTATCTAAATAAATATTTTATGATTTGTAGAACCATACTTGGATGCCTGCTCGTAGCTGAAGAATTTAACTGCTGAGTTTGGGACAATTCGAGCACAGTTGGTGCCGTTGCCTTTGAACAATCCCCTAAAGCCTTCAGTTCTCCATATGTATTTCAAGCCTTGAACAGTACCATTGTATTTAATATTGTGGGGATTTTGAACCTAACAGACAACAACATTCAAGCAACAGTGAGCAAGAGAGACGGGGAGGGAGGGATTAGCATAAACAATCTAACACAAGTTGCTCCCATAAAAGGTAAACCTCTTCATTTTCAGCGTCATTTTCTATCAACTTTACATTTGTAAGGATCTGTTTTTCTAGAATCTTGAAAGGCATGGTGTATTACAGCTATCAAATTGGAGAATACATTTAGAATGAAAAATATATTAATGCTATTTCTTGGAGAAGACCAGCGAATAATACTTTGATGACATTCTCAACTGTAGATATGCAGTAGTTAGTGGGAGTACAGTGTACTAGCTTTTGGGATTATAAACTTGCAGAGGTGATAAGTACTTCGACAGAATGAAGATCTCACTTAAGGAAAATACTTGTATTCAACCATTATTCAGTTAAGGAAAGAGGAAAATTTGGTTAAGGAAAACTAAATCAAACTAAGATCTCACTTTACAAAAAGCAAAGCCATATGCACCTTTGTTAATCACAAATACAAGCACAAACCATGAGAAATACCAGACATCGTATATGGCTATATGCTAGTTTCAAAACTTTCCCTTTTATTCATTAATGAGGGTTCAGATGAACATATCCTAACATGATCTAACAACACTAACCTGAAGCAAAATTTTAAGCCGTTCCAGAGGTGCTACAGCGGTCCTCGACCTGAAAAAAAAGACAGCAACTCAATCACACTGGAACTTATTCTGCAACTGTAACCTAATAGCTAAACCTAGAAGTATCATTAGGTTTAACAAGGTCTTCCATCAATAAATTGGTTTCTGAAAAATAGTCATGTTCATTTCTATCTCGACTTTCCTCTTAACCTCCTGCTCCACTTCAGTACTAAAATATTACCAACGTTCCTTTATTAGTACATTCAATCCAAGATGCATTTGGCTTATTTGGAGAAGAAATATAAAAATGAAAGAAGAAGAGTAGAACAAAACAAATCAAACAAAAAAGGGACACTTTCAGCATGTGATATCCTCAGTCCAATCAACCAAACTTCTCTTTATCATTCGGCCTATCTGAAATATACAAACATTCGTCCCCATAACAAATAACAATCCTCTTTCCTCCAAACTCACCACCCCAAGGTACCAAATTTCATCAAGAATCCGCTCCTTCAACACCAGTTGGAGAATAATAAATAAAGCAATTAACAGATAAAACATCTTCAATCGAACAAGCATACTCCACCAAGCAATAACAGGAAATTAACAGAGAAATCAGACATTTGATCATCACATATCATCTACATGTACGCGCGACGAAAACAAGTAAACAAATCCCCGAACTTACACTCCTCCGGCGACACCGCCGGCGACCAGAGATTTGCAGATGCTGTAAACTTGATTCTTAATGGGCTTTATATCTTCCTTTGCGAGCTTCGCCTCCTCCGCTAAATTAACAATCTTCGACACCGCAGATTCGCTCGTCTTCACATCCTCCGACGCCATTAAATCGCCCCTCAAAAAAATCCTATAAAAAAATCGAAATAATACGATCGAATAATACTACTCTCCCAAAGAAAAAAAAAAAACCCTAGCTTTACGATCAAAATCAAGGTATCATTCCACGCCTGCTGAACCCTCTTTCTCTCGGCGGACGGGGAGTCGATGGCGGCGGAGAGAGTAGAGAAATGGAGAAATGCGGCACCAAATGAATGTGTGTGCGCGTGTGTATTTGGGGCTTATAAATGACGGCGTTGTGTGTTCAAAGAGTGAGAGCTTGAGACTTGCTATAGAGTACAAATACTTTTTATTGTTTATTATTACTATTCAAGCCCGTGGCCGTGGATACCATCTTTGTGGAGCTCCCCGCTTTAAATGGTTGTACTTTGTAATTGGGTGAATTTATTACGGAACTATTCAGTCAGAATTTGTAGTTTTTAAATGTATGTAACGATTACAAATCTCGGCGGAATAATTACTTAACGGAACGCGGAATTTATTGAGGATTATATGTGTACTTTAATTTATTTTTTCAAATCATTTGACTTTTCTTATGGCTTGTTATTGATAATTATTAATTGTATTTGGATAAGGGTCTAGCTAGACTAATCCTATAGGTTCCCATTCCCACACCAATTCTTCTTATTATTGAGTCATTCATTTATTCATGACAAAAATATCTATATTGATAATTGATTGACCAACTTTTCCATCTAAATAGTAAATAAGTTAGTGTTAGACATGCCATATTCTTTGGGAGAGTATACCTAATTTATATTTAAATAAAAAAAATTAAATATAATTAGATGCTATATTCTTTGGGAGAGTATACCTATTATATCAAAAATTTAATTTGATCTACCTAATTTATATTCAAATAAAAAAAATTAAATATAATTAGATATTCAAGTTAAATGTTTGATGACAAAAAGATATAAAAATAAATTATTTTGCTGTGGAATAATAGATAATAAAATATTAATAATTATTCATAAATGATGCATTGATACATATATATACTTAACTGAAATAATTTTAGAACAGTTATCGATAT